GGTTTTCTGAGATATGAGGCTGAGATGTTGCGACTTCGGGGGTACAAGTAATTGTGGAACTAGTTCTCTTCTCCAAACATTGGAGCTCGCACTTTTTGCAGACTGACTAACATTTGACTGGCTCACGACTGCCGCCCGGAGCACACGAGAAGAATGCCAGGCCATCCACTCGGCAAACCTGCAAGAAAGCACCACTGTGTTTCGGGGAATTCAGCCTCATCGGTTGAGCTTGAGTAGCCTGAGAAAGAGGGGTGCTCTTCAGGCACAATCTTCCTCAGCCTACTCAAGCTCAACTGATGAGGGGTGAATTCCCCGAAACACTGTGTACATTGTATTGAGCAGGGAGTGGTGCTTTCTTGCAGGTTTGTCGAGTGGACGGCCCGGCACTCTTCTCGTGTGCTCCAGACGGCAGTGGTGAGTCAGCCGGCAGGAAGCTCGAGCTCCAACGTTTGGAGTAGCCACCTTTTCTCAGATGTGCTCTCTCAATGAACAGCAATTTGCAGTTTTTTTCCAATTAGCGGGCATTAAGTTTAAGTTGAAAGTTCCACGAAAGTTCCCTTCCATCACACGCCCATCCTTTATTCTCTAGTACAGAGTGATTCCTTGCACTGTTTATATCACCTCTCTACTGCAGTTGTTGTGTTTATTTTAATTCACAAACCAAACGGGCAGATCTGCCCAATGAAAAGGTGGCAAATGCAGATAGAAAGCAGTAGTCTTTGTGGTTCACTTTCACAACTGTGAATAACACGCACAGAAGTCTCTGCTGTGAGCACGGTGGCTCGGCAATGGCAATCTGCCCAATGAAACGGTGGCGAATGTAGATAGAAAGCAGAAAGCTTATGCGAAGACTAGCCAAGCTTGCTTGGTGATGTCAACACGAACAAGCGTATAATAATAATAGTAATAGGGAGGGATGTAATAAGGATAGAGGTGGAGAGAAAGTAAGCCAGTGGATCATCAAACAGGGCGTTTGATACTCTAGGTACTAAGGGTATGCGGGATCATGCTGGCGCGGAACTGGCTGAGCGTGGAGATGGCACGCATATCGCTGGGTAAGGTGTTCCACAGTTGGGCGCCCGGAACGCGAGGCAACCCTTGCCGAATCTGGTGCGAACTGGCGGTTGATGCAGATCCATGGCGGAGTGCAACCTAGTTGGGCCAGCTGACGAAGGACCTAGGAGGGCTTGCAGATCAGAACTTGCGTGCCCATTCCGAGACCTCCAGACAAGAACGATAAATTTCTGCCTGAATATCTCGGATACTCTGTATGTGTCCAATTTCAGCAGGAGGGTGCGTGCGGAGGTGTGATGCGGGAGTCCGAAAACCGCCCTTGCCGCCCGATTCTGCATGACTTGTAGCCGATCCACTTGGCTGGCAGTCAGAAGTGGAGAGAACGCATTTGATCCGTACATCAGGTCAGACATGATGATCGCTTTTGAAAGTAGAGAACTCAGCTCTGATGAGTCAAGCAGCGACGCAACCTCCATAGTGCTCCGATCCTCTGGGCCGGTCGAGCAGTGCAGCGATCAACATGCGGTGTTCATGACAGATCCGAGTCCAGGAGCACTCCGAGATACCTGGCTACAGTAACGACAGGAATCAGCGTTTCATGGCAATTTACGTTAATCGTGTGCCAAGGCTGCCTGTTGCGGTATACAGGGATCACTTGGCTCTCTTTTGGCAGATACCGTGTCAAGGGATGTGCTGCTGCTGATCAGCGCGATGTCGTCGGCTAACTGAATAGATGAAGATTGGCCAGCTATGGATGGAACTTCGCAGGTGTAGATACCAGGCGCGCGCCAGTGCCCTTCAAAGGGGGGGGGGGGTTCGGCCCCCCCCCCGTGAAAATTTTCAAAATATGAAGCAAAATCCTGCATTTTGAGCGAAAAAAGGGGGTTCCGGGCACCCAGAAACCCATACGGGGCACGCGCCTTGATACTAAAAACTAGTAAAAAGGATCGGCCCAAGAACAAGAACAGAACTTTGTGGCATGCCACAGGATGGTTCGGAAATGGCACTCTGATCCCGTCCAATACAGATACACTGAGGACGGCCCGACAGGTAGGAGGAAAACCACTTAAGGGCTGTCCCTGTTATGTCAATATCGAAGAGGTCCTGGAGGACGTAATTCATTGTCCTTGTTCATTTGATTTTCCTTCTATTTCTCCTGACGATAAGGCTTGAAGGTATACCAGTGAAAACTTTCAGGATAATGTTGAAGAACATGAAGTGTGTCCTATTTCACAGTCATATTGTATTATTGTCAACTTGGCAGCTTCACGCAGCCGTCACCATTGTGCGTGGCCTGGAGTTTGTACGGTGTCAAGGTACGTTCGGGCCTGGTTTAAATCTGGCTTGGGAATTTTTTCATTGCCATCAGGCTCGGCCTCATTTTCTCTGTGCTGCGCTGATGGGTCCACACAGGACGAAGTAGTTCTGTCCGCAGATTGAGTATGGTGTCAACATGTGTCCACACCCTAGTGCCATCTTGGACAGGGGCAGTATGGATGAAACGCTAGCAGCGCGGGTGGAAGGCATCTTCTCAACATTCAGTGGTATGGCAAATTCAGACATCAACAGGGCACATTATGATACTATAACTGAACCCACGGTGCTAGTAGGTGGAAACACATCCATCAGTACTTCAACTTCATCCAGGAACAAAACATTCCTCGTCGATAATATCATAAGGCAGTTGGCTGCTCCCACACTGGAGCTCGCAAGGTTCGATGGACTTCTCGTGTGCTCTGTCTGGATGGCAGTCATGTGCTCTGTCTGGATGGCAGTCATGTGCTCTGTCTGGATGGCAGTCATGTGCTCTGGATGGCAGTGTCCAGTCAGGTAGGCGGGAAAAGGGCAACCTCCAGCGTGGGAGCAACCGACTTAATGTTCAAATTTGAAATCGGCGGAGAGAAGAGCCTCGGGTTTCTCTAGGTAAGTAGTCATCTTCATCTCCACAAACTTGTTGCTCTTATCCGACTTTTTGATGATAGCCATCTTATTCTGACTGTGTGCGATCCGAGTGGGACATAGATGATGTATTTCGAGCTGGTTGATGAACTTTCATGACGTCCTGCTTGAACTTAGCAAGTCGGAACTCTTCTTCCTTTACTTGGATGATTTCGGTTCTTGCTTGAAGCCAGGTGATTGAAGATGCCAGATCTTCCTGTTGAATGTGTTTAATGTATAACTTAGGGAGCCATCTTGATGGGTGATAGTGTTATTACACCAGCAAAGGGAGTACGCTATCCTCTCAATGCCGACCTCCACATCCTCCATGTCCCTTTTGCTGACTTTGCCTGTAGACGGTACAAATCCTGGACCATTCTGCAGTAGTCCAGCGACTTCTCGAGGAAATACCATCGTCCAGTGTGGGCACTCAGCCCGACTGATCACGGCTGCTGTCACCTGGCATGGACACTATGTTGCTTCGTCGATGGCTTGTAGTGGCCTGTGCTTGACCCCCCCCCCCCCCCACACACACACAGCCAGTTGCTGTGTACAGTTAGCTCTGGCTTCTCTGCAGTTGGCGTGTCACTAGTCCCCAAGCCAAATGTACTCTTCCGTTGTGCATTGTCACAGATCAGCTCTGAATGCCATGAAGTTACGGTAGTGTCGGGTACGAAGAGGAGTCATACTCCCAGACACAACGGACAACGGCAGCGGATTTCCATTCGAACTCTTCCTCGACGGCGTCATCCAATAGGCAGAGCACGTACTTATCGCGGTGAACGGTTCTAAATTGATGGTCGCAGCGCGATGGAGAAAGCAGAATGGAAAGAGTTGCTCCTTTTGGTACCTCAGCAGAACATGCAACGGAGAAATGCATCTTTACCCATGCCCACTTCACAGACAACAGGGCATCTTAGTCCTTGGGGAGGACAATCTATTCAAAATTCGGAAAGATGCTTCAGGCCGTAGCATTGTAACGAAATGGGGTAGATGGCAAAACTAGGGTCGACACTATCCAACACTCTAGTCACACTGCAATTTCACAATCGGAAGTTGTAGTTCATCGTTTCCGTCACTATGACCATCATCAGTATCAAGCATGCAAGGAAGCAAGGCAGAGCAATATGAATGGAATTAATGAAATGATGATTCAACTCGGATGGTGAGCCAATTAAATTATGGTGAAAAAGGAGAAGGAAAAAATGGTACGAGTTATGACTAACTGTCCACCAACGAAACCAGATCTTACACGGTCAGCGAGTGCGACAAAATGGCACAAAACTGACAAGGAGTACTGAGACATTCGGAGACCTGACACCTAGCTCCAACACTTCTCCAAGGCGCAAACCAACAACCTTCCAACTTGGAAGGCTCAGGTTCGGAAAGATCCAAGAGGAGAAGCTTGAGCGTCCGAAGTTGGGTGATCTGTTGCTTTGCGTCGTCGAGTTGTAGTAAGGCCGATATGTCCAATAGTCTTACTAGTTTCGTCATCATCCAGTAACTTTCGGCATTCTTTGTTGCCATGATGCGTAGCTCGTGCTCTTCTTCGTTGCGCTTTCCTTCCCCTCTTGGATCTTTCCGAACCTGAGCCTTCCAAGTTGGAAGGTTGTTGGTTTGCGCCTTGGAGAAGTGTTGGAGCTAGGTGTCAGGTCTCCGAATGTCTCAGTACTCCTTGACAGTTTTGTGCCATTTTGTCGCACTCGCTGACCGTATAAGATCTGGTTTCGTTGGTGGACAGTTAATCATAACTCGTAACATTTGTTCCTTCTCCTTTTTCACCGAAACGATGATAAAAAAACTAACTTATCACTCAATTGATCCAATACCTTCGCAAAACAAAGAACAGCCCAACATCATCACAGAGGTTGTGATAACCATCTTTCGGTCTTTGCCAATGGACGCAAAACTATGATTGGACGATCTCGCTCCTCTGGTGCAAATAACTGCCGCCCCAAGCAGGGCAATGGACAGGTGATGAGACAGATGATGGGACTTCAACCAGAGGCCATTTGTACCTCGATGGGACATCAACCATCCGCACCTCAATGGGACATCAACCAGAGGCCATCCGTAGCTCGATGGGACATCAACCAGAGGCCATCCGTAGCTCGATGGGACATCAACCAGAGGCCATCCGTAGCTCGATGGGACATCAACCAGAGGCCATTCGTACCTCGATGGGACTTCAACCAGTCGCCATCCGCACCTCAATGGGACATCAACCAGAGGCCCTCCGTACCTCGATGGGACTTCAACCAGAGGCCATCCGCACCTCAATGGGACATCAACCAGTGGCCATCCGTACCTCAATGGGACATCAACCAGAGGCCATCCGTACCTCGATGGGACATCAACCAGAGGCCATTCGTACCTCAATGGGACATCAACCAGTGGCCATCCGTACCTCAATGGGACATCAACCAGAGGTCAGCCGTACCTCGGTGGGACTTCAACCAGAGGCCATCCGTACCTCGATGGAACTTCCACAAGAGGCCATCCGTATCTCGATGGGACTTAAACCAGAGGCCCTCCGTACCTCGATGGGACATGAACCAGAGGCCATCCGTACCTCGATGGGACATCAACCAGAGGCCATCCGTTCCTCGATGGGACTTCAACCAGAGGCCATCCTTGCCTCAATGCAACCGCATCCTTAAAACCACCCTTAGAAAGGCTGTTTTCTTGCTTGCGCAATGACAGCATGTTGAGCCAGCTTGAAACACCCTTGCCTTGAGAAAGGTATTCAAGTACTTGGTCCGGCTCATCGCAATTGTCGCTTATCTATCGCCACTAAGAACAGGAGTTTTGTTGCCGCTCTGTGAAATTTTCAATAGGCATAGTGAGGAAGCATGATACATGAATACTCTCCGCCACAAGAAACAAAATTCAGCCCTGGAATCAGGTGAAGTGAGTCTTAGAAGGGAAGCAAGGTAAGCAAAATGCACGAAATAAATCAGCGAAGGAGCGCTCTTGCACTCACACTCCTACAGGTTCGAGCTGCCGCGTTACATGAGCTGACATTAATTGCTGATGCCTAGCTGCTGGCGTAGACTGGTAGAGTATATCTTGCTTTGCCAGCCTGTCAAGTGTCGTATGGCAGCAATGGAAAAGGAACAGTTGTGTCTGTCACTTCGGTGCTTGAAGGAACCTGGGCAGTGTGACCTCTGTGTCACCACAGTGTGTTTCAACAAAGCCTTCGAATGAGGCATACAGGCCTCTCCAGACAGCTGTCATACGCTCCACTGGATACCCTGACGACGACTCTTGTAATGCTGCTGCCAGGTCCACGAAGGAACAACCAAAACTTCCCTCGCATGCGCGCATCGCATCGAAAACACCTTTCTTCTTCAGCATAACGCTCATACTCCTCTGCCGTGCACGCGTGCCTGTCACGCTCTCCAGGATGTCAGTTGCCCCTGCTACAGTTCCGGTCTTCGGGTCGCTGCGCTTGGCTTTTTTGGCAACACAGACAGTGAATGGCCAGATTTCCACTTCCCAAAAAAGTCGAACACATCGCGATTCAAAGCGCTAGTCGCGATCATTTTTTCTTTGGTGCCTCACTTGATCTTGCCATCACAACCTCCCAAGCAAAAGTAAGTTAGATATGTGATTGGACTGGGTTTTACCTGTCAAAAAGTGCGTGGGAGATAAGCGACAATTGCGATGAGCCGGACCAAGTAAGTTGCCCAGCGGCGGTTTGAACAAACGCCTCCCTCACCTGGAAGGACTGCAAATCATTCTGTCTGACATGTTGAGTTGCTGCAGCAGTTTTCGCACACTTTGCTGAGTCGATAGCACATTGAAGGGAGATTGACCCATGAACGCTTCGTTCCGACTTATTAAGGGGGCAGCCTACCCATAAATTTCGTATGGCATTCAATTGACCGTAACTTTGGTGTTTCTCAATGGATTTGAGTGAAATTTTGACCACACACTCCTGCCACTATGCTGGCCCTCAGGACATGATTTACAAGTTCTTGCGCCTCACTGACAGGCTTTCCAGGCCGGAAAAACTCAAATTTCCGGCATAGTGCCACGGTGTGCGAGCCACCCAGGAGCCAAACAAATGCATTTACAATTTTTTCACATTTTCGTGCTCATTCTGTTCGTGCGCGGGACTCAAACCTAGAACAAGTCCAGAAGCAGCCATGGGTGATGGGGTAGGGCCCCTCAACGAGGCTCTGGAATCTGTCACAACGGAACGAGTGGGCGTTCTCTCACACACTCCCACAGACCAAAGTCAATTTTTGAATTTTTTTAGGTTTAGCACGTGCTACGAGGTCGTACCTTTGATACAACATCCAGTGCTGGGACCTCCACAGCAAGCCATTTCCACAGCGCTGCACACCAAATCCAGGATACCCTCAGAAACCGGCAAAGACTACCACTCACGTTTCACTACTGCCTAGTACTGAATCCTACCTGACTTCTTGACACGACTCAAACTTGCCAGTCACTAAATCAACGTCAACTACAATAATCAAGCCACATATCTGCAACGTCACGAGGGTGCTGGCAAAAGTCCTGCTGCGAAGCCCGCCGCCGTGCAGCCCAATACGTGGTTTTTTAACGTGATTTTTTGGACTTTTTTGGACTTGGGGCAAAATTCTGCACACTTTCGCGTGTTTCCATAATACAACAAGTTGCGCACGGTCTGCTCACATTCAAATACAGTGCTGCCAACAAATGACAGCATGCAACAAAAAAATCTTTCCTTGCAAGGGCACATTTTCGGCCATAACTCTTAAACGGCTGGTCAGATAGGGACACAATTTTCAGAGAATTTGCAGCTATTCATGCTCTTTCAACTGACGTAGCACTCAATATGAATTTACAAATTCGATTTTTCAGCGAATCTTTGGGTAGTCTGCCACCTTTTAAATATAATACGGATGCCAACACTGGTGAAAATACGAGACGCTTCTTCCTTCTCGGGATTTACAAGGAGAGTATTGGCGTGTAGCTGATGATTCTGGTGTGGCAGGGCAGTTGATTTACCTACGTAGGTGGCGGGGCGATATTCAAGTCCAGGGTCAGCAATATGGGGATTGCCTACAAGCCAATATTTCCCTCGTACATGTAAATCCCGAGACCCAAGAAGCGTCTTGTATTTTCACCGGTGCTGGCATCCGTATTTTTGTAAAAGGTGCTGCTGAATACTTGGGATCATTGGTCGGTGAGTCAGGGGCGTATGCCGATTGTTTGCGGCAGAGAGTACATGAATTGACTGCGGAGGTGAAGAGGCCTGTGAATGTGGCGGAAACCGAGGTGTGGACAACCTGTAGGGTTTGCACTAGAGGTAGAGTCTCCACAGCATCAAACACCACGGACAAGAGATCTCCCTGTGTTGTCCCCTTGTCCGAAGAAGTCTCACTAATGCCAGCAAAGAACAGTCGAGCAGGAGAATTGTATGTGTTTTTTAATGTTCAGCAATGGGCGGACACGGGTACTGAATGTTATATAATACGGCCTTCCCAGAAGATAGTCTTGTCAATCACGAGTTGTTGCCACAATCTAGGTTGCTATTCACAAGGTTGACTGGGGACTTAGTGGTGTTCAACACATGCTTTAACCTACAAGAGAGTTCTGTATGGACTTCTACCCACTATGAAGCACTTTCAAAATGAGATTTAAATTAACAAATCTGCTCCAAGTATTGATACTGTCGGAATGCAGCAAGTTCAGTTTATCCGCTACGAAAGCTGTATACACTGTACTAGTAAAAAGTAAAAAAATTATATTGAAATTTGTGTGCCTCATCCGCCAATGTCCTCAGGACTTGCAGGATAATGACGTGGCTGATCAGAGTTAGCCCAGGCATTATTGCTGCGTGTTTGGATGTGTCTTCATCCAAATCCATTGCCACATTGTGCTGCACATATTTCCATGCGGAGCCTCTTGAAGAAAACTATGACTTAGATTTTCACAAAGCCGATCATTACAGTCGAAAAAGCCGATGATACAAATTGTGTCAAGTCGACGGGAAAAGCATGAGCTCCAGTGTGGGCAGCTAATGAGTTTCGAATAAACAATAACGATAAGTTTGTATCACAGAGAGCAAAAACAATATAATTATCACTCCATCTACAATTACTTGTCTATCTTCATTAGCGTGTGTGTGCGAACTCTGTTGGGCATCAAGTTTTCGGAGCTTAATTTTTGCAATTACACCATTGGAAAGCTTGGAGCTTCCTCTTTGATCTACATATTTCGATATTTGCAACAGGACTAAAATCGATGGCGTTACGACAGTTTTACGGTACGCACACAATATCAGTCATTAATGACTGATGCACCACAAAAGGGTTAAAACTGATGTTCTATCTTTGTGCAGTGTGCAGTGGGCAGTATGCGGACCACAAAGAGGGTGAAAAAGGATCTCAGCACCACTACGACCAAGTTGTAATGAAGCAAAGAAGAAGAAGTGGATGCTCCCTTTGTACGGAATTATGACTCCCAGCAAAGCTGGAAAGTATTTTGAAGGTGAGGAATTTCATGGTCGTCACCGGACTTGAAAATTCTATCCTAGGGTGCGTTCTTATTTTCTGCTGGTTTGCGAAGAAGGTTGTCTTGGAAGATGCAGAACGGGAAGAATACGCAAACGGATACCGATGTCACATGTCTTGACTACAACACGCCAAACAGGCTGGGACATGGAGAGACATGTACATGTACATGTGTTTTGTCACGCCTGGAAATACACTTATTTTTGTGCAGGGAGTCATAATTATACTACGCTCTGTGGTTTGCACTGACTTGTTATGGGTGCACGCTACTGCATGCAAGACATGTACAGTAGATTGGTAGACTACACTGCAGATCAGTATACGATGTGCTGCAATATGGCAGACTGAGGTCACAGATGTTCAAGAGTCTCCACTAGTTGCCCCCCCCCCTCCATCCTCTCATAAAAAGGACTTGAAAGAGCACAATTTTATATTGTGCATACTGTCCTGGTACATGTGTGCCAAGTTGTCAATCTAGCATACTCGCTAACCTTCTGTGGTATCATTCTCCCATATCTAACAAACATCTGTCAAACGGCTAGAATATACATGTACATGCATTAGGCCATGGTAAAAAATAAAGTTGATTCTCAGGTCATCAGCCTGTGAAAATCGGTGCGAGCGAGCGATTTTTTATTTTATTTCCCAATTTTTTTATATTTCCAAAGATAGGGTGACACATATGTACATGGTCACATGTTCACATATTCAGGCCAGGGAGTAGAAAAATACCGGTATTTTACTACTCCCTGATTCATGCCTTTCGCATTGACCGTTTTCATGCGCGCATAAGCATGCATAGAAATTTAAAAAACGTCAGTGCGCCGCCAAAAATCGGTGCGCTTACTTGAGAATCGAAGATAATTTTTACCATGTCCTTACCGTTATTAATTTCCGGGAAATCGTTGATCTTTTGCTGATTTGTAAATCTCTTCAAACATTGGCGCAATTCGAGTGACTTTCATTGTATTGATGAGTTCCTTTCCTCTGATAGTAAGGAGGGTAGGCATGTTTCCTCTGAGCCGGAGAGAGATGAGAGATGGGAGGGGTTTGGAAAAGAATAGCATCCGGCAGACCAGAGTTGGTGAATTTCTAGGGAATTAAGTTTTATTTAATTTGTTATTTTATTTATTTTTTACTAAAAAACACAG